GCTAACAGGGACCTTCGGGACCATCTGGTCCCGACTCCTTACATAACATTTCCAAAGATCACAATGACATCAGCAGACAAGATAAAAATACGAATTACTGAAAAACTAAAACTTCACCTGAAGAAATTGACTGAGGTTTCTTTGATCCTTCTCTTTTTGGTTTATCCCTTGAGAATTCTGACCTCTGGAATTACTGGACACCAAATTTATTTCCTCAACTCCTATTAAAATATGATTGGTATTCTCTGTGGAAAGGGCAGGAAATTGAGGGAACAGTTAGTATTTCACTATTAGAAATGAGAAATGGATTGAAAAACAAAGATTAATCACAGCAGAAGAGGAATCTGGGCTTGCTGGAGTTTTTTTTGGGGGGGGAGGGAGGGTTGTTTTTGTTTTTGACCAGTTGGTAACTTAAATGGTTAGAACACCAGACTTTGTGAAATCATGGCCAAAGGTCACCAGTCACCACCTCCAACAGTGACTAACTGTCCCCCTTAGTTACAAGAGGGATATTAGCCACAAGAGAAGTCAGTGAGAGTAAAACAAATCCAGGCTCATCGCTAGGAAAATAAGTAAAAGCTCATGATCTCTCGGTAGTCTCATTTGAACATTCAAAGGATCGATTAGGCCCATGCCATAATGTTGCTTCTTTGGGGAAATTCCAATATGGAATTTCCAAAAATGTAAATTTCCAAAAAAAAATATTATAGCTAGAAAGTACCTTGGAGTCATTTAATCCATTTAACCCTCATTTTATAGATGAAAAAACTATGGCTCAAGGAAATTAAGTGATTTGTACAGGGCAACACAACTAATTAGTGGCAAAACAAGACTTTTTAATGGATTTTTTTTTTTAGGCAACTGGGGTTAAGTGACTTGCCCAGGGACACGCAGCTAGTAAGTGTCAAGTGTTTGTTTAATAGATTATTAAAAGGAAGTTAAAGTTATATGTGGTACAACTTCAATCTCTTCAACTTGACATCATAAAGACAAACCTGACCTTCCCCAAATGATTCACTAATACTTCCATCATTCAGAATCCTAGGCTGGAGAGATCTTTGCTCTTTGTGTCAGTGAAGACTACCTTTCTGATGTTCCTTTGGCTGTCACAAAGGATGTTGTTTAACTACAAATGTATACACCTTCACGGGGAAGTGAATTTTCTACTTCCTTTGATCAGTGTTGATAGCCCATCTGGATAAATAAGGCCTCTAAAAGGGCTTTATATACTGATGGAAAGAATATCAAACTGGGAATCAGAAGACTTAAGTTAATGGCTCCACCATTAAGCCATTGATGACCTTGGGCAAATAATTTTATTCCATTGGTCTTTAGTTTCCTCCATTTGTAAAATGAGGGGCTTGGACTAAGGTCCCTTTCTGTTTTAATGTTCTATTGATAAACGGAGCACTAAGTATTACTGTGTGACACTGGGTAAGTCACTTTATTTCTCTGAGTTTGTTTGCTCATCTGTAAAATGGGGATAATATCTGCACTATCCACCCTCACAAAGCTGTTGTGAAGAAAAGCACTTTGTAAACCTTAATGCACTATAGAAATGTGGCTGTTGTTCAACTGAGATTTATTAATCATGGGTGTAGTGGAAACAATACTGAATTTATAGTCCAAAGAACTGAATTTGAACTGCAGATTTGCTACTTACAACCCTATGCATCCTTGAGCAACTACATTCATTTCATGGGCTTCATTTTCCTCACCTATACTGTGAGAGGGTTGAATTGGATAATTTATAAGATTCCCTTTTAGCTCTAAATTCTATGACATATACACTGTTCCTGGAACTCACTGGATCTCTTTGCTTCAGTTGTTATGGAGATCCAGTCATTGCTCTATTCCTCAGCTGTAGCCCCTGCTGACTCTCCAGAGGGGAGAGGGGTGGGGGGGGTGGGGAAGACAAAAAACAAAAAAATAACCAGAGCTCTCTGAACACCATAAGTGGCAAGTTTCTTCATCTATAAACATGGCTGGGTTGAACTGGAAGACCTTTAAGAGCCTTTCAAGTTGAATCTAAGTCTATGAGCCTATGAAGATACAGATATGCATTCTGGCCCATGAAGCAGAAAAAAATAAATGTGGTTAATATAGGGAGGGAAAAAAGCTGAGTGGAATAATCCCACCTTTGAACTATAGTAGCTCTTATTATATGTACTAATAAAGAGTGTTGTAATATTTTTAAGACACTCTGTAGATGCATTTTAAAATAATAAGGCTCAAAACTGCACTAAGACTTTTGGGACATCTTGTATGCAGCAATCATCATATACTGCCCTTATACTTAGTTACCTTTACATGTATATACTTTATCTCCCCAGTTAGATTATAAGCTTCTTAAATTCAGGAATGTCTTATACTTTTTTTCCTGTATGACTTTCATTGTCTGGAATATAATATTTGCTGAATTTGCTTGGCTTGAAAAAAAATAAATGTGGGGCTCTATTAAAAATGTAGATGTTCTAAATTGAGGTTAGCACAAAAACTCAAGGACTTCAAACTACCCCTAGAGAATAACTGATTCCAAAAAGAGGATCTTTAATAATAAAATTCCTAATATAGTTTTCCCCATCTCCACCTCTACCCATACATTCATCTCTCTTTATCTAATCAAAACTAACCTCCCCTCTTTCCTTTTCTGTTCATTAATTTAGCATTATCTTTCTATTCTGGGTCTCCAAGAACACAATTCAACCTAGAGCCCCTTTTCCTTGGTTAATTGCCTCATAACCAGACCTCAGATAAAGCCCCTCCTTTACTGCCCTGCTTCTCCCACTTTCACAGTATCTACACTTTTGCCCCCTTTTCTCCTCTTTTTCTTCATACCTCCCCCTTCTCCCTTCCTGTCCAAATATGGCAAGTATACCAATTTTCATGAAATTAATCTTCTCAGTTTTCCATTTCAAAAGATAGAGATGATCTCAATCTGGGGTAAAAAGAATGAGTCAACAAGCATTTATTAAGTATCTACTGTGTCAGTTCTTTAGGTACTGGGGGGAGAGTGCAGAGTAAAAAAGAATAAGATTTGGAACTTTACCCACAAAGAGCTAGAAAGGTTGATTTTGATAATGGGGTACCAAGGTGAAATTAGAGATCTCCAAGGTACATTTTTAATCTTAAAGTTACTGTGATAGAGAGGAACTATGGCCTGTTCCAACTCTTTCTCAGTATCTCATCAGAATAAAAAAACTGGAAGGAACATGGAGCTTTTTCTAGGGAGCGTTTCTGATTTTTTAAAAATCTTCACAAGGTACATTCTTCAGTAACAAACTGTACATACAGTGTCGTAAACTTATGTCTCCAGCCGTAACTCATACTATTTCCTCTCGTGGACCCCTTGCCCGTGGACCCCATAGCTTCCTCATCCCCAAATGAGCTTTTCCACCTCTACCTAACGCTTTTGCTCACAACATCCCCTACTGGCAGAACGCACTCTTCACCTTCATCTTTACCCATTTCCAAAGCCACTTTATCCATGAAGTCTTCTCTTAACGTTGGCTTCCCATCCCCACCGTGATGTTTCCCTCATCTTAAACTCTGCACTATTTGTATTCCTTCTACAAATTTATGTTTACGTTCTTATTTACATTTTTTACTCAGGTAGCTCACCCCACCCCCTGACAACTCCTTGAGAGTAGAAACTCATATTTTGTTTATATTTTTATCTCCCCCCAGCATCTAGCTCAGCTCAGTGCAAGAGTAGACACCTAGTCAGTGCTGGATATATGAACAGAATGAATGGATTTGAGGATGAAAAAAATGAGCATACAGCCCAGTTGAGAACACAACACGCAAGTGAGACAGTTAACCCAAAGCAGACTATAAGTGTCAAATGGGTGATGCCGATCAGTTCTAAGAGAATTCAGTAGAGAGAGATCCTTAGTTGATGAGGGAAAGCTTCTCAGAAGAGGTGGGGTTTGAATTGAGCTTTGAAGGATGAGGTTAGAGTTGCTGCTTTAAAAAAAAAAGTGAAAAAAGTGAGGGTGCTGGGGCAGATAGTAAATGATGCCGTTTTTAGCTTCCCTTGTCCACCTAGGCTGCTCTTATATATTGGCAGCTATGCAAGCTCACCAAGAAATGTGTGTATCCGCCACGATGCTAATGCACCTAGTAGGCGCTAGATAAATAGCTGAATGAATGGAAATGGAATGAATGAATAAAATGAAATGACATCAAGAAGGCCACCAGTGATGGGGGAATCCATTTCGCTTACTAGCCAGCGGGTGGCCTTGGGAAGCCAGGAGCGTAGCTCCGGAGCTGGGCCGGGCTGGGCCGGGCTGGGCAGGGCTGGGCTGGGCCAGGCCAAGCGGGAGCTGGGATGGTGGGGGAAGGGGCGTTGCCATCTGCTGCTCCTTCCCAGGCTATTGGATTAGTGGCCTTCAGGGATGAGCTCAGCCAGATCGGCTTTCAGCTGCAGCCTCTTCCCTGTCCTGGAAGGAGGGGAGCCGGCGGGCGGCGGCGGCGGCGGCGGCGCGGCAGCGGCAGCGGGAGCAGCAGCAACAACAGCAGCAGCAGCTACGGTTATAGCAGAAGTCAGGATCTCGGCACAAAGACGCCCAGCCCAGAGAGAAGAAGCTCCCTGCCGACACCGCATCGCCCCGGGGCACAGGGGAAGCCACCCCGCAGGGACCCGGGGGCCGAGGCGCTAGGGCCAGTGCCCCCTGCGAGACAGAGCTCCCAGCACTGGCCGGGCGCGCTCCATGTGTCCTCGGCGGCCCGAGTATGCGCGCTGACCGTGGCGCCCCTGGCCGCCCCAGACAGACCAGTAGACAGATGTTTCTTTCCCGCCGCTGCTGAGGCTCCCAACTTCTCCAAGTGCTCTGCAACTCTGGGGCGGCCCCCGGCTTCCCGAGAGCCTGGAAGCGCTCTCTCCCTCCCTGCGCGCTGCCGCGGTCAGCTTAGAGAGGACGCGCTCTCTGGAGAAGGAGAGCGGGGCTCGGAATTCCAGACCCCCTCCTCCCGGCCACCCAGCGGGGCGCGGCTGCTGGGCGCGTTGGGGCTTTGCTCGTAGACTCGCTGAGCTGGAAATTGGCTGGCACTTGGAAATAACTAGATTCATATGTATTTTATGGTAAGTACCGAAATCCCCCCCCCGCCCCCCAATGGGCTCATTCTTCCTCAGCTCTACCGAGGGGTTTGAATTTTAAGCTATTCGAATGGGTTCTGATCGGATCCCGGCTGCTTTACAAGTTAAGCACCATGCATGCCTTTATGAGGCTGTTCTAAAGCACGCTGTTGCGGTCTGCATACACACAACCCTCACTTCTTCCCGGCCCACTACCCTGTTTTTCTCCAGGGAGTCTCGGTGCCCCGCGCTCCTTAGGAACAGGAAGGGTGATTTTCTGTATGTGACAAGCATCTGCCCCAAGCAGCCAACTGGGGGCTCTTGCACCTTTTGTTCGCGGGCGGTTTGATTTATTGACAACCTCCGGCAGCTCGGTGGTTATCTGAGTAACCCAGTGAACGCCTGTGCCAGCATCACTCTCCGGCAGAGGTTGAATCGCCCAGGTGGCACACTGGGCTAAGTTAATTGGCTCCCCTCCCCCCAAGCCCTCCAGCTTGTGATCCAAACTTAGATAAAAAGAGGCTGGGAATACCCCTGAAACCAAATGCCAAATGACTGTTCGGATTCAGCAAGACCTTTAAGTAAAGCTGGTGTCCGGAGACAGGGCTAATTCTGTCGTTGTTGGCAAAGCTTTTTCTTTTCTTTTTTTTTTGCAACAGAATCCCTAAGGGATAAATCCTTGGTATTCTGGGAAGATGTGGTGTCATTTAGGAAATATCCCCTTGGGAAGCACAGCCCACAGGGTTTCTCTGTCTTAGAGCTGCAATGGGCTTCCACTACATACTTGTCTTCTAACTCAGCACATTTGATTGGCCTAAAAATATTCGGTTCACGATTGGTTTTACTTATTTCTCAAAGAATCTGCCGCTTAAACACGTTCCAGTACCAAGAGAGGATAAAGGTGTTCTTCTGTGTTTCTGAGCAGTATTTGTGGCCAAGACAGAAGGTTAAAGACTTGAATTCTTTCTGAGCTGCTATGATCTTTCACTTTATTTGACCTTTGTATAGTGCTTTTAACTTGACTTGCATGTTCTTAATAATATTCCTAGGAGGTGGACTGGGGAAGTGTGATTAGCCCAATTTACAGATTAAAAACTGAGAGGTTAAGTTTTTAAGCCTAAAGTCACATAGCTAGTTGGTTGCAGATCTGGGATTAGAACCGAGGTCTCCTGACTCTTAACTTTTTTCCATTCCACCAACAATCTCCAGCCAGTAGATTGAGAACTACTTGTGGATCTTAAATATTCGTTCCCTTGAAATCTTCAAACCTACTGCTCCCATTTACCTTCGTTTCTAGTTTATCGGGTCTCCTGAAATGCTGGCAAACTGGCAAAACTTGACAGATACACCCTCCTCTCCACCACACCACCCCCCACCTTACATTATGGTTAGTGTTCTTTCTCCCTAGGTAATAAACATTTTTCTATCACACAAAAAAAATGTTGAAGCCCTACATGTGATGAGACTTTCACATAGATAATGTGTGAAATGTGTAGTTTTTATTCAGTTAACCACTACTTAGTTCCTCCTTTGTGCTGAGTGCGGTGCTTTGTCAGGAAATAGAAAAATAAGGTTGAGGCAACTCAATCAATCAGTCAGGTAAGGATTATCTTTCTGTCCGCTGTGGGCCCAGCCTGTAACCACCAAACTCTGAGGCACAGCCAGTCTCCCCAACTAGCTGTCACATAGTCTTGTGCAGCTCTTTGTGACCAGTGAACTACAGCACTCCAGTACTGTTCATGGGGTTTTCTTGGCAAAGATTCTGGAGTGGTTTGCCATTTTCTTCTCCAGTGGATTAAGGTAAATAGAGGTTAAGTGACTTGCTCAGGGTCACTCAGTTAGTTAGTACTTGTCTAAGGCCACATTTGAACTCAGGTCTTCCCTACTCCAGGTTCAGTGCTCTATCCAACTGGGTCACCTAGCTGCCTCCAACAATCTACCCTGACCCTAACAAGAAGCTTATGCTTTTAAGATGGACAATACTCAAATGTTTGAAAGTCAAGAAAGAAAATATTACTAAGTTACCAAGTCTCCTAATGTGACCAAAAATAGTGTAAAAAAAACCTATTGTAATTGTAGTAATAGCTGCGACATAGTATGAGATAGTGTATAGAAGTATTTTGCCATCAGGAAGACCTGAGTTCCAGTTTGGATACTGGTGTTTTAGCTGTGGTAACCTTGAGTAAATCATTTAAGCTTTCAGTGCCCCAGGCAACTAACTCTCTAAGACTTGTAATTACTATGCCGAGAGTTTTTCACTCTTGAAATTCCTAATACTGATGAAATCATAGGTTCTGATCCCCTTCCTTGTTCACTCTTCCCCTTCTCCCATAATACTACAAGGTGTAGTAGAATAAGCAATATATTTGGAGTCAGGGTGCCTGGTTTTGAATGCTGGCTCTGCTTTTTATTTCTTGTGTGACCTTGGACAGGTCAAGTCACCATCCCTAAGCTTCAGTTTACTTATCTGTAAAACAAGGGCTTTGGACTAGATATTCTCCTCCCAGACTGGCCCAGGGTCACACAGCTAGTAAGTGTCAAGTGTTTGATCTGAGGCTGGATTTGAACTCAAGTCCTGCTGACTTCAGGGCTCGGATCCACCTGGCCACCTAGCTGCTCCTAGATATTCTCTTCTAAGGTTCCTTCCAGCTGTAAATCTTATGAATCTATACTTAATAATACTAATTGCTTCACATCAAGCACATTTCACTTGAGAAGCTCTTGCTTTCTAAGCCTAATCTCATTCATTTTCCAAGATATTCTAATAAGGTAAATAGCCTGGGTTCATACTCTTTTTCTACCTTGGACTACTTGAGAAGCCACGTTGTCTTTCCTACAGAAGGCTAAAAAAGGACTCTGGCCTCCTGGACTTGTTTTCTAGCTTTGTTTACTAGAATGTAAATTTCTTAAGACCAGAGGCCTTGTCCTCCCAGTTCTCTGTATCTCCATGCCCCTCCCCATCTTTGCTCTATGTTATTTTGGTGTTTAGTAACCCAGCTGTCGTACTGAGGAATACTGCCAACCTCCTGATCTTAAAGTGGAATGTAAGTGAGAGAGTAGACTTGGGCTCTCTTTGAAGGAGGGCCAATGATTGGTTAACTTAATTGTCTTTATTGTTCTAATGCATGCTCCTATCTGGAGCAACTACTTTGTCTGCCTGAAGCTCAGTTTCCTCAGCTGTAAAATGAGGGGATTGGACTGAGTGACCTCTAAAGCCCTTTCCAGCTCTAAACTGGTGTTCTATGATCAAGCCACCTGGTCTGCTTGATGATCCTGGTTTCCAGGGCCAGAGAAATGCCTGTGTTAAGGAATAAAAATGTCCAGGTTTTACCTTGAGAGGTTAAAGGCTGAAAATGTAAACAGGTTGTAAGAATGGTTGAGGAATATCAGTGGATGACAGATTGATGGTGGGCTGTTAAGAAAAGCTGGGAATATTGTTATAGATTGTCAACTGGTAGGTTGATGTTATTAGGGGTAATAATAGCCTCTTCCTTGGTGGTCTGAGTACTCAAAGTACTGAGGAAGGGACTCTGGGAAAGCAGTTCTGATGGGTCCTGCATAGGTTGCAGGATCCTTGTCCCCAAAAATATCCAGGCTCTTAGAAAAAAATCTTTGAAGGGAGAACTGGGAAAGGTAGGGTGGAAATGTAGAAGAGACATACACAGAAGAATATGAGAGCTTGATAAGACTAGAATAGGCCTGGTGAGTGTCAGGGGAAAGTGCAGATAAAAAACAATAGATAATCCTAAAATAACATTTCAAGCTTTGGAATCCTAGGTATGAGAAGCATTTTCTTTAAGGCAGATTCCATTAAAGTACCTGCCTATTCTGAAGAAGTGGTCTACAATCCGGTATTAATGGCAAATGATGGTTTCACCATTTTCCCTTTTCTTTTTAACAAATTTGAATTTTAGCATGGGCTTATAATGCCTTAATTATTTAGGGCCTAGGGCAAGTCTGTGTGTGTCATAGGTAGATAAGAGTGCCAGGCCTGAAATCAAGAAGACCTGAGTTCAAATCTATACTTACAGATGTGTGACCCTGGACAAATTACTTAACCTCTTTTTGTCTCAGTTCCCCCATCAGTAAAATGGGGAGAATGATAGCACCTCCCAGGTTTGTTTTGAGGATCAACCGAGACAATAATTATAAAGCACTTACCTCAGTGTCTGGCTCCTAGTAATCACTATGTAAATGTTAACTATTATTTTTTTTGGAGGGGAGAGGGAGACTTTCATTGGCTTGCAAATCTTATTTCTTAAGAAGTCACATGCCCATCACAGGATCGTAGCTTTTTGAGTCAGAAGGGACAAATCACTTAAATGATCTGGAACGCAGTACCCTTGTCTGTAAAATGAGGGGGTTGGATTCAGTGGTGCCTAAGGAAACTTTTGGCTTTGACTACATGATCCCATAATCTTAGCCTTGGTTTTTTGTACAATCCTAAATTGAAATGCCTTTGAAGTATTTTTAAGAGAAAAGAGTAAAGTGTAAAACCTGTCTGACAGCTTCTATTTCATTCAGTTCAACAAAGCATATATAGAGCTTATTATGTGCCTGGCACTGTGCTAAGTGCTTTACATTTATATCATTTGATCCTCAAGACAAACCCTGAGAGATGGGTACTCTTATTCTCCTTATGTTACAGGTGAGGGAACTGAGGCAAAGTGATTTGCCCAGGGTCACCCAGTTAACATACTGGGGCATATACAAAACATTTAGATGAGACACCTATCATCCCTGTTTAATTATTTGGAGCATAAAACAAAACATTGGTTACTACAATATATAGTTTACAGGATAAATTCATTAGAAAGGTGCAAAACCCAGTTCTGTGTGAGGTCTGAAGGGGAAAGTTGTTATTAATAAAGATTAGAAAAAGATTTATCGAAGAGATGACATTTGAGTTAGGCTTTCATAGAGTAGGATTTCATTTGGTGTCAAAACCAAGAGCTAAGGTAGGACCAGTGGTATGCTAGTAAATGTTTAATAATAGGTTCTCTGAA